TTCTCCACAAACACATGTAAACATATATCTTTTTGCACATGTGTAAGTATTCCTACAGTTCCAAGAAATGAAATTTTTGGCTGGGTGCAGTGACTCATGGCTGTAAAGCCAGCACTCTGGGAGGAGGAGACAGGAGAACCACAAGTTAAAGTCCAGTGTGGGCAACTTAATCATCTAGTGAGACCCTGTCTCAAAATAAAACACAAAAAGAGTTGGGGATGTACCTCAGGGTTCATGTCTTAGTACCCACCCCCATAAAAGAATGTAATTATTATGTATCACATATACTGATAAAAAACAACACTAAAAATATTATATGAATTAAATTTTTGAATCAATAATATGTGCGTGTATGTGTGCGTGTGTGTGTGTACATGTGTGAGTTCCCTTCCTACTTCTGTAGTGGCCACAACTCTTAACCATTTCTGTTCTCTTTTTGATACTTATTTCCATATTTTTACATGATACACTGCATAGCTCTTTCTTATTTTATGAGACCTAGACATCATTCATGGCTTTCTGCTACAACAAATGAAAATTTAACTCATTCACATTCCTTCACTTTCTCTTTCACTCTTTGCTGTATAGTTTCATCAGTTTTCTCGTTACTCGAGTGTTCAACTCTGTAACTTCAAATAATATACTAAAACCTTCATGTTTTATTTCATTACAATGGGCACCAACATAGGTCCCACTTCACAATATTAACACTGCAGTGTTCTCAGCCCTCTTCATCTTCCATCCTTTCTTCCACTTCCATACCTGTCACCTTTTCCTCTACTATTTCAATAGCAAATTCGATATCATTTATGCCCTGTCCTGTAACCAGAAACTAGTTTTGAAAGTTGAACACCCATAAATGTCATGTATTTATGATTATGTACATATTGCTCAACGAAGAATCTTATTTTGCTATGACTAAATTTCCTTCTTTACACTCCTAGATGAAGTTGATTATTGTCATGGGCAAATGTGACCTATTATTGCTAGTTTACTAACTACATAAGATAAGTCTGAAATTTTGCATAAAATCATATGTATTTTAAACTGTGACAACTCATTTAAAAAATTGATTTCAGAAACCAAGAGTTGGCCAAACAAAACAAAACTGACTTCCAATCAGCCAGTTTACCACATTTATGTTTAGGGTTTTCCCTTTGTCCTTTGTCAAAAACTCCGCAGAGATTTACCTATTAAGTCTCTTCTCCTTCAACTCTAAAAATCTCTTGAGTTATTTCCTTGTAATTTCTTTTATTTTTATTTCTCTGTTCTCTCTTGGACTTCTATATGGAGGGCCATGTTCATCTTCCCTGTATGATTTGCTTCTCCTCTTACCTATCCTATTTCTCTGCTTTTTGTTCTGTTTTCTGAGAGACTGCATCAACTTTGTTTTTGATTAAGTTAAAAACAATATAGCTCAGTAAGTAAGTGAGCAGGGACCTAGATGCAGAAAGCCTCCGTTTACATCATGGCTTTGTCAGTAAGGAGTGTAACCTTGGCCAAATAATTTATATTTTTTGTGCATTGTTTTCCTTAAGTGTTAATGAACATAATAATATACTACTATTATGAGGAATAATAATAGACCCCTCTTGTTCTTCTGTGTTATAGTTCATTGATTTTTGCTCATATTATGTTTCCCTTCTGCTTGTTTTAACTTGCTTGTCTTTTAACAGTTTCCTAAGCTAGACACATAAATCACTTAGAAATTGGGTTTGTTTTTTTTTTTGGTACCGAGGATGGAACTCAGGACCTTGCACTTGGCAAGGCAGGCAGCGGAACCACTGAGCTAAATCCTCGGCCCTTTAAATCAACCTTTTTTGTTTCTAATGCAACTAACTACATAATGCTATTTCCCTAAAAGTACTTTTTCTACATCTCATGAGTTTTGACGTGATGTTTTCATTTTCTTTCTCTCTTTTTTATAATTTTTAGTGGATGCTGGGGATGGAAGCCAGGGCCTCATGGATGCTAAGCACATACCTCACAACTGAGCTATACCTCCAGTCCCTGTGTTTTCATCTTCATTCAGTTCAAATATTTTATTATCTTCATAGTAATTTTCATGCTTGTATTTTAAAATAATAGTAAGCAAGAGTTAGCAAAACATATCTTTTATATGTACAATTATTTTACTACTATTAAAAATCTTTTCATCAAAATTGTTCATTCATCTTCAGGTATCAGAGAAACATCATATAGATCAGATCACAAAAGACAAAGAGTACCAGAGATATCAGAAATTTGACTCCTCTTAACACCCTACACTATATAAATTGTAACTTTTCTCAAGCCATTTCACCACCTAGAACTAATAATACAGAGTCATCCGAGCCACATTTAAAAAAAATTAACACACAACCAGAGGTTGTAACTGGTATTTGGTTTCACTGATAATCACATTAAGGACATTGAAATCTACCTTCTAATATACAGATACTAGGCTTCTATTAATCTTTTTTAAAATTTAATTTTACTGATACACTTTTGATAGTCATGATGGTCATATTCATCATGGGGAATTTGTACCTTTATATAATCTATGTTGATTCTTCTTTTTTCCCCCATTCTTCTCCCTTCCCTTCAACCCTTCTTCCTTTCCTTATTTACAAAAGCTTTGCTTCCATTTTTCCTTCTATCCTCTTTTTATTCCTTTTTACATTCTTCCTTTCCCTTCCCCTGATTCCCATTTCCATTTGAACATTTTCTTCCTACTTCCCAATATCTAGCCTCTATTTTGGTCCTTATTTACCCTTTGGGTTTCTCACACAAGAGAAACAATGTGATATTTAAACATGTGTGCCTCATTTATTTCACTTAAAAGTATGGTCTCAAGATGTATCCATTTACTTAAAAATTTCTCAAGTTTATCCTCCTTTATAGGCTTCTAAATGAGTCAGTTCAACAACACTCATGGTGTTTCTATTCTGAACTCACAGAAGTAATGTAATAAAAGTTGAAAGAAATGTAAGAGGAAGTTTCTGTTCTCTTGTAGACTACTCCTTTTTGGATAAAAACAGCCCTGTACAATGCCTCAGTCTATAGTACAAGAACAGATTAAGTGCACAAAAAATGAGATAATAGATGCTGTAATTTCAGAGAAAGAAACTGATGAGGACTGAAAAGGTCATGTAACATTGAATGGAAGAGTGAGCATGAGGTTGTCTGACAGAGTGGGCACCATTTGGCTATAAAGAACAAAGCAGGACTGTTAGCTGCTAACTATGAAGAAGACCAACTGACAAGCTTGTCTCTTCATAATTGTTTTATAAATAACCATCCCCATGAAAGTAACTCAGGCAAATATTTTTATCAACATTCTAGGATTAAAACAACAACAACCCTAAGGATGTTTATCAGATCAGATGTTCTTCTTACTGAATTCAATTGAGCCACTAATTGCTATCAATTAGTAAAGGAAATAAAATTCAGTGATCACAAGGGATTAATTAGTTTTTTTATGTAGTACCTGCTTAATGAGGCTTCAAATATAATAATTTAAACATTCTTATTTCAAAATTTAAAAAGTTCAAATGCCATCTTTAAAAAATTTTTTTCTTAACCTGAGTAAGCTAATTAATATTTTTCCAGACATCAAGGAAACAAATTAGATAAGTAAAAATTAATAATACTTAAATATTCTGGGAATAAATAGCACTATATAAAAAAACTTTTTAAAGAATTTAAATGTTTTAACTAAATAAGAGGCAAAGGACAGGGGACAAAATTTCTCCACAGCTGGAACCTTTCTCCTTACACCCTCGCTAACCTGCTCTTTACTGTCATTTTTGTTCCTTAAACATATCCAGCTTACTCTCTTCTCGGGATCCTTGGATTTACTTTTCACTCAGACTGGAATACTATCCCTCCACAGTCTCATGAATATTCTTTCCTGGTTTTTAGGACTCTCAGCACAAATGCCACAGCTTCCCTGACCACCTATCTAATGCTGGTAATCCCCCTCAGCCACATACACTCACACCCTCCACGTGGCAGTCCAATGTACACACCCTCATTTTTCTTCACAAATCACTGTGAAAAATTATTTCATTTTTTCTTCATGGGTTGACTGCCTATCAAAATGTAGACTCTGTGAGAACAGGAACCTTTCCTTTTTCCCTCAAAGACAGAGGTCTGAGTGTGTTCAAGATTCAGCTTCACCTGTAACCCGCTGCCATGGCCAAGGAAGGCATCGCCACTGGAGGTGTAATGGATGTCAATACGGCTTTACAAGAGGTGCTGAAGACAGCCCTCATCCATGATGGCCTATCATGTGGAATTCCCGAAGCTGCCAAAGCCTTAGACAGCACCAAGCCCATCTTTGTGGGCTTGCATCCATCTGTGATGAGCCTAGGTATGTAAAGTTACTGGAAGCCCTTTGTGCTGAGCACCAAATCAACCTAATTAAGACTGATGACAACAAGAAACTAGTAGAATGGGTATACCTGTGTAAAACTGACCAAGAGGGAAAACCCCGTAACATGGTTGGTCCCAGTTGTGTGATGGTTAAGGACTATGGCAAAGAATCTCAGGTCAAGGATGTCATCAAAGATACTCAAATGGAAGAAATAAATGAATAAAACTTTTTGCTCACTTAAAAAAAAAAAGAAAAGAAAACAGGAACCTTGTCTCTCCATCACTGTTCTTAGCAGTGTCACTAACAGTACCCAACACATAGTGAATACACAATACTGCTTCTTAAATAGGTAAGTAAATCAAACTAGTTCTCCTTCAGGAATAGAAAACTTCAACAATTGCAATAAATGTGTCAATTAAACATTCAGATTAACAAATTGTCTGAATAGGCTCTAGTGGAGTGCTAAAACAATGTTTCTGGATTTTATTAAAACCAATGTTATTTTAAGTACTTCAAATATATTCATAATAAAAGCTCTTAGTGATATTTTCACTATGCAGAGATTTTGTGATACAGATGTTTAAAGGAGAGATTATATGTGTTAAACATTAAATTATATCATTCATCAACAGAGAAGGCCAACCTGCTGTTCATATCGTTGTTTCACATCCTCTAGCTGCCATATGAACTCCTTTGACTGTTTCTCACGAAGGGATTTGGATCTTGTTAGATCTGCTTCCACTTTTTCCATCTACAAAATTTAAAAACTCAAGTTTTAAATCTTTTTAACAAAAATTATATTCCATATGCTTTTAAAATTCTTCCATTCATTAAAATGTCAGATTTTACATAATTTACCAATCATAATGATAAGTTTAATGGCAAATAAAATGAAACCTATGTTAATTTAATACATTTTAAAAGTTAATGGGGAAAATAAAAATTGGTATATAACATAGTGTTCTAATAATATAACAATAATGTCATCAAAATATAACTTTGGACATTCAAATATTTATTCAATATGATTTTATTAAGTGCTTAATGGGAGAAAATACTTGTTAATCATATATCTGATAAGAGCTTTCTATCTAGAGTACATGTAGAATACTTACAACTTAGAATAAATGGGTAGTTAACCCAGTTTTTAAGTGAGAAAAGGATCAGAATAGACATTTCTCCAATGAAGATATACAAATGACCAAAAGCATATAAAAAAATGCCCAGCATCACTGTCATTAGGCAACTGCAAATTAAAACAAGAATGACATAGCACTTCACATTCAGTCGGATGGCTACAAGCAAAAAGACAGGTAATAAGGAGTATTGATGAAGATGTGGTGAAACTAATGCTGCTGGTAGGAATGTAAAATGTTATAGACATACTGAAAGACAGTCTGGAAATTCCTCAAAAAATCAAACATGGAGCTATCATATGACCTAAGAATGTCATTCCTAGATAAATAAAAATATACAGTGGACATATCAACTTCAGATTTGCTAGATGACTGACTTCTTCATTGCAACTGTTTTTAATGTGTGACTGCTCCAATGTGATATAGCCTTGGGTTCTCTGATGTAGCTCACCAATTAGCACAGTGCCTGGTGCACATGAGGATTCAATAAATAATAAAGACACAATGTGCTCCTTTCAAGATTTGCTAAATGTACAATATTCAACATTTAGTGCCAAATTCTTTATAAGATACACAAAATTTAGTAAGTGTTGATCTCATTTTCTCTATTACTTTGTGCATGTTCTTATCAGATGTTCTTTTATATGTGACAGGAAAGAGATGTTCTTACAAATAGAAAAGAAAAAGCTTTCCATGGCAGTAACAGGAAAATGGCACCTTTCCTTCAAAGCACTGCCCATTCCATCTGTCTTTCTACATTTGCATATTTGGATATGATTTAGGAAAATGCTTTTATTTGAGATCATTGTCGCTTAATGTGACAATCATTCTATCACTCGATAATTTTACTGCTTCACTGGTATGTTGAGTTACTTGTATTTTTCTATTTCTATGCAATGTTTTCTCTGAAGTTACCTTTTGGTAAACATTAAGATTAGTTAAAACACAAATATTAAAGGAAATGAACCATGAAATTGTTTTCTTCACAGTTTTTCATGTTAAATTTAAAATATCAAATGCATTTATTCAGACATAATTAAGGTTCTAAGAAAAAATATACTCAGGGACAAGCCACCATGTTTCACTGCATGAGAACAAAATGCATCTTACCACTCACCATTGCTAGGAGACAACCACCACATTTCAATTTCCAATTCTTAAATTGAAGTTTGGACTATCTACATTCTGGCAAGATATTTAGCTCCTTAAGTATGTCTTTTGTAAATACCAAGGACAGTAACCCTGAAAATACTAAAACAAGTTTCCAAAATCAATATCAGATTCTATGGTTATTGATCACAGATGGTTAGCATTTTGGTAAATAATAAATATAAGAAATTATTAAAGGAAGTATAGTGAAGCCTACTTTGTTTTCTTTTGTTTCTAACTCAAGACTTGTTTTCAAAACTCTATTTCTATCAATGCCTGTCACTTTAGACCTTATGCAGGAGGCTCCATAATGGGTCCTCACCAATATACACTGCAGTATTCATCACATTTCCCAAATAAGCCTGGGTATTCTTGACTCTATAGCTTCTGGCCTTCACATTATCTGGTAAGCTCTTTTATTTTTTTCTCAATCCAGTCAATCATCAAGGTTACATCTGTTTTCACCAGACTTGAGCAGCTGAGAGGTAACTATGCCCTCAGGAACTCTGTATAAGGCCTCCTCAGGCCAGAAAGAAAACTCTCACACCTACATATCTGCAGAGCAGAGCATGTAACTACCTGACCTTAGCAGTCAACCTTTGAAGCCCAGGAGGAAGAGACAAGACCATGACTATACATAATTGTGAACCATGGCCTCTTGCTCTGGCCATCCCAAGCAACAGCAATGCCAGACACCATACCCAGAGTCCAACCTGCAGCCTTGTCCAAATACAAATTCCAAACAATAGTACTGCCTAGCCAGGAAATGCAGCCTGAAACCCTGCCTGATCAGTGATTCTAGAGCTCAACCAACAGCTATATCTGGCCTAGCCAGTATTCTTACCAGACTATGGAACACGGTCGGCAGTACCATCTAATCTCAGAGGACAGGAAGAGGACCAGCCTAGCTGGAGAAACCAACAGAAAGGTCTAACTGGTTGTAGTCACTATCAGCTGCCCCATATAGAATCTCAGGATAGACTAAATATTGAAAACCTATTTTCACCAAAGAATACCTACAAAGGTTGGGAGAGGTGGCTGTTCTGTTAAATGGAGAGACACCAAGGCAAGGATACAAGGAATAGGAGGAATCAGGGAAATATGACACCACCACAAAAACTCCTAATAATTCTCCAATAATGGACTTCAAAGAAACAGAGGTCATGAAATGGCTGTATAGAATTCAAAATAATCTTCTTGAGCTTGGTGCAGTAACACTGCCCATAATCCCAAGTACAGTACACGTGAGACCGAGGAAGGAAGATCATGAATTTGAGGCCAGCTCAGGGAAGATAGTGAGACCTTGCCTCAAAACAAAAAAAGAAGCCAAAAATAATCTTCTTCAATAAGCTCTGGGAACTACAGGAAAATATGGATTGAAAACATTAAAATAAGTTTGGAAAATTATACATAAAATGATAAATTTGAAAGAAATGGAAATAATTTTTAAAAACAAATTCTAGAGACAAACAATGTAATAACGGAAATGCAAAATTCAAGAGAGAGCTTGCACATCAGACTTGTTCATGCAGAAGAAAGAATTAATGAGCTCAAAGACTGAACATCTGAAATTATGCAGTCAGAGAAACCAAAACAAAAAAGAATGAAGAAAGTCTGTGGGAATTATGTTATATCATATCATCAAGAGACTTAACTTTCACAAAATAGTAATTGAACAATAAGAGACAGAAAAGGGTCTAGAAAAGATACTGAAGAAAATAATGGCTGAAAACCCAAAATCTAGGGAAAGACGTCAACATCCATGGTACAGTTAACTCAGATGTCTCTAAAATCCAACTTAGTGAGAAATTCACTAAGACCTATCATAATGAAACTATTAAAGACAAATTCTAAAACTGGGAAGAGATAAAGTACATATCACATACATGAAAATCTCCATATGGCTATTATCTGATTCTCAGCAGAAACCCTGCAGGCTATGAGAATGTGAGATGATATATTCTAAATGCTGAAGGAAAAATACTACCATCTGAGATTTGTTACCTGGAAAAGCTATCCTTCCAAAATAAGGGAGAAATAAAATCCTCTGAGACAAAAAAATTTAGAGGAGTTGTTCACCACTTAGACTTGCCTTACAGGAATTGCTTACAGCTAAAAAAAAGGGTGCTAAGTAATCACATTAAATATAGGGCAGTAAAAAGCTCCTTGGTATAATTAATACATAGATTCAGAATACCTGTGGTATTTCCAGTAACAGAGTTAAAAGACAAAACTAATAACATGAGCTAAAAGAAATTGTTAAAGAATGCAAACAAAAAGATGTAAATTGTAATACTGAAAAAAATAAAATGAGGGAAGAGTAAAAGTGTACTTTTATGTGATAAAAGTTATCAGATTAAACCAGCTCATTATAGTATGTTTTATATATTATGTATTACACCTCATGGTAACCACAAAGGAAAAATTTATATTAGCTGAACCAAACATAAAAGGATTCAGAGAGTATCACTGCAGAAAATCATCAAACCATAAAAAAATAGAAGGCATAAAGGATCTACAAAAAACCAGAAAAAATACAAAATGGCAGTGTAAGTCTTTATTTATACATAGTTGCTTTTTTTAATTTTGGTACCGAGGATCAAACTCGGGTCCTTGCGCTTGCGCAGCAGGCGGTGAAACTACTGAGCTAAATCCCTGGCCCCCATAGTTGCTTTTAATATAAATGGATTAAATTCTTAATCAAAGCAGAGTGGCTATGTTACTGAGTAAAAACCTAAATAAATCCTCTAACGTCATTTGCCCTCAGGTGACTTTTAAAAATCACTGATTTTGGAAGTCACAGAGCTAGACAATACATTATTACTCTCCCACTAGCTTTGGAAATGACACCTCTGACTGAAGCTGCCTGATGGATTAAAAACTATTTTCCAATGAATTTTCTTGTCTCTGCTTTCTAGGGGGTTGCTTTTCTCAATCTCTTCTGGTTCTCTGGGGGAAAAAAGAGCCTTTCACTATCTTCCCCTGTTCTCTGGGAAAAGATGCCTTTTGTATCCTAATAATTAACTGCAGAATTAACTATTTCTGGGAAAAAGAACTAAATACACATGTCCATAAGACTTTCTAATCAGCAACTTTTCTTTAGATTTACAGAACCCAAAATACCCAATGATCTGTAGCCCATGCATCTGAAAGCAGACCAACCAAAATTTATAACTACTCTGGAACTTGGAAATCCTTTAGTGCCTGCCTATCTAAAATAGCAACCCACAACTCTCTATAATATTGTGCTTGCAACCCCTAACCAGGTTGTTCTTTGTTGGCAGTAATTTCCATCTTCTTTGGTTTGTTAGCTTTGCAAATAAATCTTCTTTACCCTAACAACTTCTCCTCAAGTCACTAGCCTTCTTGAGTGCAATGAATATGGGTTCATGGTTAAAGCTGGATGAATTTTTAAGAGCTACATGCTTCTTAGAAGAGTACCAGTTCACACCTGAGGACATACATA